CGGCACATAACAACAACAACAACAACAAGGTTAAAGAGTGGGTTGAGGTGTCAAGTTAAGTTGATGAGAAATAGGATGACTCAAAGGAGTAGGGGCAAGACGCATTATTAGAGAGTGCCAAGTTTAAGTGAAGAAAATAGAATTCAGTCAAATAAAAGAGAAGTAACAGTAGATTGGAGTCTAGGTAATATGCCAAAGTGAGAGAAGCCAGATAGATTCTAAATGAGTGAAAAATCTAGGGTAAGTATGGGTTCAAAGTGAAAAGATTCATGACAAGTATTACATAAATAAAAGTGGATACCTTTACATATTAGCTGACTCATAATTATATTGAATCAGGTAAGGAACTCCCTTTTTTAAATTACAAATTGTCCTTTGAAACTAAACTGCTTTTGTTCCACCTATATTGATCTGATCTTCAGATTCCTAGGTCTGAATTCACTGAGAATATTAGCAGATGGTATTTCCCTTTCCTTCTTAACTCTTGCCACTATCTTGAACTGCATTAACACATGCTGATAAAGTTCTTTTTGGCTCCCTCAGTCATTTAATTCTCCCTCCAATAAGCCATTTCCATGACCACACCCTGGGTCTTGTGATCATGTGGAATTTTTCTACCATTTAAATGTTCTTATTTCCAGAAATGCCAATCTATAAACACATCTCATCTTTTCCAATTCTCTTAACCTGCAAACACCCAAATCACCTACTCTTTGATGTCTCTCAAACCTCGAGTACATTATCCCTACCCAGTTCTCTTTTGATTAGCTCCATTCTTAATTTTCCTGCCTTCTGCACATAGTCTGGGGGAAAAATAAAAATTAATTCTGACTCCAGGAACTACTTGCTATTAAGATCTTTCTCTTCCAGTCTACAGTCCTCACCAGTGATGATCATCTTCCTCCTACTCTGAGCCTGTGAAGCTTGAAGAAAGACCAGGTGCCTGTGCTGATTAGAACCACTGTCATGTTTTCACTTTTCCTCCCTTCTCTGTCTCTTCCTCTGTAAATTGTTGCCAATCTTTTGAATCTCTTGCCCTTGATCTCAGCAGCTAATCTAGTACCCTGCTCTATGGACACAATATGGATCTCCAGATTCCCTTCTTTCTGTATCTAATTTGGCTCCATTGTCACACATTCTCAGTTTTTGTCTAGTCTTAAAAGGAATTTTTTTTCCCCTGAAAGTCATCTTCTAGATGTTATTCCCTCCTTGTTTTTTCCTCTTGTTCCTTCTCTACTTTCCCCTCTTCTCCCTCTTCTTCCTTCTAAATTATACTCCAGCAAATATTCCCTTTATTTTAACTTACATTTTTATCCACTAAATTTCATAGCTGTATACAAATATGCACTTTTTCAGCATGTTAAAACCCCTTCCCCAGACCCTGCTCCACCTCATGAGCTCTAAAATTGATTGTTTACTCTGTCACTGTTTATTCACTACTAACATTTACACAGATAAGTTTTTTTCTGCTTTTTCTCTTTACTTCTCATTCATTCCTCAGTCACCATCACTCAGCCATGACAACTCAGTTTCTGTCTTGCTACCTTACAAACTAAGGAGTTTTTTTTTTTTTCCCCCCAAACATTCTGCATGCATTTTCCCATAATTTCCTCTCAGGAAGGTGTACTAAACTAAACCAAACAAAAACCCAAACAAAAAAGCAGATGATCATAAGTGTGGTTCATCATAACTGGAATATTTTTCTGAGTTGAGGACTAGCTGTATCCAAGTCTGTCCCACTCAAATGTGAATGGGGCTGAGGATTCTCCCAGTCTTAGACAGGATTGCCTGTGGTATTCAGCAGAGCAGAGTCTATAGACTACCACTGGAAAGATCTAATGAAAACAAGACCCACCATATAAAATTCATCTTCTCCATAATGAAAAGAAGAAATAAAACTTCCTTTGACAATATGGGACCCAACAAATTCAGCAGAATTTGTCACTTGCTCAGTCAGTTATATGGACATCCTGTGTTTTGAGTTGACCTTTCTACTGCACTGATGAATTATAATTATTATTATTTTAAATATATTATGATTTGGGTGAAAGTTTACAGAGCAAATTCATTTTCCATTCAGCAGTTCATACACATTTTTTTCATGACTGCAGTTCCCCACAATGTAACAACAGCTCTCTTTCCACTTTCTCTTTGTAGTTACCTCTTCCCTGTGTCCTTCTTTCCTATGCATTCCTGTCCCCTAAGCTTTCTTCCTGTGCAAATACTGACCTTCTGTTCTCCCATGATTGATCATTCTAAGAAGTGTATCTACCTCATGTAAATATTCCATTTACATGTACCATATATGCCTGTCTTTCACTTGAGTGGAAGCCATGGGAGTGAGTTCCATTCCAGACCTGAAGGGTAACTAGGGGCCATAGTCTCAGTTGTTTCACCAGGCTCTGTCAGAACAGTAAACCTGGTCTTTTTTTTTTTTTTTTTATGATTTTGAGTTTTGTTCCACATTGTTCTACCACTCCCTCCAGGATCTCCTGCCCTGATCCATTTCCGAGTGCTTGACAGTGATAGCCAGGCACCATCTATCTCTTCTGGTCTCATGATCATATAGGCTGAGGTTCACTTCGTTCACTAGTCCCTTGGAATAATTGTTTTCATGCATATTTAGTTTTCTTCATTCTTCTTTTCTCTGGACGAGGAGAGATCCATTGTAGTATCTAGATGGCCACTTGCAAACTTTTAAGATCCCAGTCACTACTCACCAGAGGAAGATGTAGAATAATGTTTTTGTGTAGTTGTTGTTGTTGTGTTTTCCAACGAGTTGGATCCGACTCATAGTGACCCCTCCTTGGATTTTTGAGGTGGTATCACTACTGAAGTAGATTGCCCAACCTTCCTTCTGAGGAGTGACTAGTCGGTTTGAACTGCCAGCCT